TTGACTTGTCTTATTTTTAGGGCCGACTAAATGAACTGATGTCCCAAATCAGGATGCAGAATCATTTTGGAGCAGTCAAATCTGAGGAAAGATATTACATAGATGCAGATCTGTTACGAGAAATCAAGCAGGTAAGTGTCACATTAGTGTGCACTTTTCTTTTTTAATCCTCACCTAAGGATGTGCTTATTGGTTTTAGAAAGAGGGAAAGGGAGAGTGTGAGAGAGTGTGAGAGTGTGTTACCATATTATCCAGCAATTCTACTTTTGGGTGTAAACCTTAAAGGATTGAAACCAGAAACTCAAATATATGTATACTCATTTTCATAGTAGCATTAGTCACAGTAGCCAAAATGTGAAAGCAGCCCAAGTGTCCATAGATGGATGAATAGTTAAAATGTGGTATATACATACAGTGGAATATTCAACCTTTAAAAAAGGACACTACAAATAGATCAACCTTGAAGATATTATGCCAAGTGAAATAAGCCAGTTTAAAAGGACAAATATTTTATGATTCTACTTCAGTGAAGTACCTAGAGTACTCCATCCAATTCATTAGAGTAGAATGTTGGTTGACAGGGGCTTAGAGAGGGGAAATGGGGAATTAGTGTTTATTAATAGGTACAGAATTTCAGAAAAAGTTCTAGAGGTAGATGGTAGTGATTGTTTCATAATGTGAATGCTACTGAATTGTTACTTAAAAATGGTTAAAACGGGCATATTTTTGTTATGTATATTTTACCATAATAAAAATTAAGTAAATCATTCACTTCCCCAACCCCCCAAAAAATGAACAAGAGGTAATAGAGGCACCAAAGTTCCCTAGACCCTGCTACTCAGTGTGTTGGCAGCAGCAGCACCTGGGAGGTTATTAAAAATACAGAATCTGTCCTTAACGCCAGAACTACTTAATACATTAAATGTATATGTATGTACATTAAAGTTTAAGAAATAACTGCTCTGTATCATACCTTCCCAACTGTATGCCACATAGAAAATATAAATGTGTAGTTATTGATCCCCTCAGCCCTCAAGGATCCTCAGTGAAGGTTGGGTTGGCCAGGACCTCCGTTTACCTAAGGCATACATTGTATGAACAAGTTGAAAAGTACTGTTCTAGCTTATTTTCAGTATAAATACAAATTGATTTAATGAAAACTGTCCAACCATTGACTGTCTAAAGAAAATGTATTCAGGCGGTAAACTTTGTGAAACACTATGTAAGACTGTTAGCATGGCCCAGAGGATTTTAGATGTTTTTTAAATGTCATCAACAATTCTGATTTTATTATGTGCTTTAGAATGGATATTTCCTTTTTTTTTTTATTGTTTTATTGCTTAAAGTATTACAAAGGGTATTACATATGTGTCCTTTTCTTCCCCCCGCCCTTGACAATCCCCTGGCCTCCCCTACCCCCCAATGTCTTATGTCCGTTGGTTGGATATTTCCATTTTATGCAATTAAAAACTAGTTTGATTCCTAGGTTCCTGGACAGTGTGCATACATTTTAGTTATTCCATTGTAAATATTTGCAATAAAATTAACTGAAAGATTCCAGCATATTCGAATAAAGAACTATATTAAAGAGTTCATGTATGCAATAAAACGGGGAATAATACAACCACCTACCTAAAATGATGAAAGCAGTATATTGTTTTGGGATTGAATTATGATTCATCACTACTTTATGACCTTGAGCAGGTTACTTCCCTGCACCTCATTTTCTTTATTTGTAGAGAAGAGTAATAATTGTACCCGAAAAAGTGCTCAGAAAGATTTTAAATGACTTAATACTTATGAAACTCTTCAAATTGCCTTAACCACTTAGGAAAGACTCTTAAAAACGTTAGCAATTGTAGTTATCACCATTATCACCACTATATACTTTGTACTAAAAAAAATGTGAAAATTGTCACAGATGATTTTTCAGAATGATTACTTTATTAGTCATCTATATTTGAGTACCTTGCATTGTTTTAATATACGTTTATCAAAGGTTGATAAAAAGAATCAAAAAAATCTGCTTCTTAATGTTTCTGTTGAAGATATTGTTCATTACATGTTTGACTTTATTGTTTACAGTATGTATTTTATTGTAGGTCATATAAAAAATATTAGTAGAAGATAAATGTGCATGCCCACTATATTTAGAGCATCTACAGAGTGCTGTATTGCTAGTAAAATCATCCTTTTTCCTGTGAGTAGCTTGCAGTTTAATAAAGTAATGTGTTAATATTTTCCTTAATTTCTTCTAGCATTTGAAACAACAACAAGAAGGCCTTAGCCACTTGATTAGCATCATAAAAGATGATCTAGAAGATATAAAGTTAGTAGAACATGGATTGAATGAAACCATCCACATCAGAGGTGGTGTATTTAGTTGACAGATCACAAACTTGTGTTAAAGGTTCATGAACTATATCTTCTTGCTACATCAGGCCTTCCCTAAGAATGAAACTGACCACATGGAGGAAAAGGAAAGAAAATTCTCTGTTGGCTTGGTTTTTGAGAAGGTTACTGACAAATTATTATTCTTCAGATTTGAAATAAGTCACTTCACAGCTCTTCAAAGACAGCCTTCGGAAGATTTATATCTAAAAGCTGTTACTTACTTAAGAAGTACATAATTACCAAAAACGTACGATTGTACATTTTTACAACAGCATTTTCTTAAAAATAATCAGTGTTTAATGATTATTCTCCATTCAGCCTGTACTCTACTTTCCATAGCAAGTAAATATGCAATATCTACTTTGCACATAAAATGTATGACTACTTGGCTGTTGGAGATTAGTACTTCAGAAAATAAATGTACATCAGTTTTTATATTTGTGACTTCATCTGTAGAAGGAGTAAAGAAAATCCAAGAGTATTTAATGATTAATGTGGTTTTCATTTCATTCTATAAAGATTTGAAAATATATTTTTATATTATTTTGCTTATTTGAAATTTACAGAACGCCTACGCAATTAGGATATAACAAAATTACATTTTATCATTTTTGCAACTTTTGTTTCTTTAAACATTTTTATTTCTAAAAATGATGAAAACAAATAAATTCTTGATTGTAATTACTTTTCTATTATTCTGTTTGGTGCTTTATTTAGCTCTGGGAGAATGACCTTTCATGTCTATCACAATTCAAGAATTTTAGTCTTTGCTTGTTTTAAAGTCTGATTTTTCCCTCCTAAGAAAAATATATCACTGCTGCTTATTTGACTTGGCAAAAAACTTCAGATATCATTTAGGATACAGAATTACCTAACATATTAGTATCTAAAAATCCTCGAAAATCTGAATTAAACATCATAATGTGAAACAGTGAATCTTTCATAACCAGGTAACTAACTTTAAACAATTTTTTTTACTACAAATTGCATACCTGGCTGCATCATGTTGGCCCCCTCTTGGAAATACTTTAACTTTCATTTCTGTGTGATCCTTTGGTATGAATCTTGCCATTGTGTTTGTTACAGGGATAGTGAGGAATGTATACCAAGAAGCCATCCTCTGAAATCCCATTATAGGAATTTCAGTCCAGCTGCAGATTAGGGTAACAATTGTATAGGAGACTGAGAACTTTAAAACTGATTGTTTTATTTCCAAGTTAGTCACTAGTAGTCTGCAGCCACTTTGCCAAGATTATGGCACGCAAACTTGTTACACTCTATATACCACCCTCTTTCATCATACTTTCCTAACTTGTTACAATCCAACAATGTTAGGAAATAAATTTTTTTCTCCTTGGACCAGAAGATAGGTACTTTCATCCTTCTCGTCCACGTAGCCACGTCCTCCTCATTAGAAGGTATCTGTCCCTTTGCACACCCTCTTACTGTAGGGAGAGTTGTTGATCTGATTAGAGTTGTTCCTCACTGAGCCACATTCCATGAAGAACAAATCACTACTCACACACACCAAGCTTACTTCTCTAGTCTTTCATTTTTTTTTTAAATATATTTCATTGATTTTTTACAGAGAGGAAGGAAGAGGGATAGAGAGTTAGAAACATCGATGAGAGAGAAACATCGATCAGCTGCCTCCTGCACACCCCCTACTGGGAATGTGCCCGCAACCAAGGTACATGCCCTTGACCGTAATCGAACCTGGGACCTTTCAGTCCGCAGGCGGACGCTCTATCCACTGAGCCATATCGGTCAGGGCTAGTCTTTCATTTTTTTCGTGTTCTGATAGTTGGGTTCCTAATTTTGCAAAATCAGTACCCCTAGATGGGGCCTAGAGCCTGCCTTTTAAAGACAGACAGACACACACACACACACACACACTCAAAGGCAATTGACTTACTGGTTACATGCATGTGTAAGGCTGACCTGTGGTCCTTGTTCATGTAGCTGGTTAGATAGGACTTGATCTGTACATAACCAAGTTCTAGATTTAGGTGAGTAGGAGGAGACAAGGCCCACTTTGGCCTCTGCTTGAAGTTGTGTTTTCCAACGCAATTTACAGAAGTTCTGTGTTTAGTCTGCAACTGGCTAATGGTTCTTGTGGGTAGACTAAAAATTCTGAACAGGAAGAGAGTTACATGGTGGGATTAAAGCACATTGAACCCCTAACAGTTTAAATTTTATGTAGTGTTTTTTTCTTTTGTATCTTGAAATCCTTTTTGAAACATTGGCAACATGTAAATAACTGCCAGTTACCAAAGCCCCTGGCCTAAATCCGTCTCTAGTAAACCACCACAATACCCTGAGGAAAATGGTAGTATACTGTACAACCTCATTTTCCTTTGCTTATTTAGCATACATAAGAAGTACTGTCTACCTTCCTGTTTTAATGAGATTCAAATTAGGCACTATGTATGTGAAATACTTGGTAAACTTGTGTTTACAGAAATATAAAGTTCATATTTTGAGGGATCATACTATTTGAAGTCAAATTTCTAATCCTTCAAGGATGAGTAGAACATCTTTAAAATTCAGTTTTGCAACAGCATGATGACCTACAGTGCATTATGCTAAGTGAAATAAGTCAGAGAAAGGCACACCATCTGATTTTATGTAAGGGGCCAGGTGGATACTTGAATATGGAGGGGACCACTTTTTAAAGTATACTATTGTCTAACCACTATGCTGTACACCTGAAACGAATATACAGAATATTGAATATAAACTATAATTGAAAATAAGAAAAAATCCACCCCACCCCCCTGAAAAAATTCTTATTAATGGATTAAATTCATGTTAACCAGTAACATTGGATATTTTAGTATTGGCAATTCTGAAATTATATCTAATAATCTTAAGTCTTTTATTGAATTCAACCAGAAATAAGGTTTTTGCAATAGATTAATATACAAATAAGTGAAAATGATTCTACAACATAACTGGACAAACTTTCTGAATTTGAAAAGTGAATAACATATACAGTTCTCATTTTATCAACTGACTTTGGCCAACAAGTGAAAAATACAACATTCCTTTTGATCATTTCCTGTGGGATCCCTGTAGTGTACTTAACATAATAAAGAATATAGCTGACTAAAGACTAACAAAGAAATATATAGAAGCACTGATTAAAATGATGAATGCCCCAAACGATGGAAGGAGCATTTTGCCAGAGGATGCAGAGGGATGGGTTTTGGGACCTGGAACTGGAGCTGGAGCTGGAGCTGTTAACGAGAACACATAGTCATTGACACGTGCCATCAAGTTCATCCACCTATTTCATATATCCTGAATATGTAAACAGACATTCAAGTTGAGTTAGAAAATAAGTTGAAATACTTCCAACCAGGAACAATTTTCAAATAAATATCACTCATTACAGATTTCAGGCTATATTTTCATATAAAGGGTGGGGCAAAAGTAGGTTTACAGTTGTACATATAGAATACCATAGTAAATATATTTATATAGACAAGATAATTTTTATTCAAGTTCTCTAGAATTAGCAATTTTCTATTTTCATTTTTGCATACATAGGTAAGGTCAAGTAAAGTATATTTTATACGCATATACTGACAGCTACCAATATAAAATTGAATAAAATTGCATTTTAAAATACTAAGGCCTGCAAGCTCATTAAAAAAATTAAAAATGTCCCCCTCATACATACCAGTACAGTTTTCTGCTTTGGAGAAAACTGCTTCCCGTTCATCTACACTAGTGGAGAGGAACAGTGGAGTCCACCCATCTCAGGATCTGTTTGATACTACCCTTAGCTCAGATACCTGACTTCTGGCTGTGTTTGGCTTAGACTGTACAAGTGAGGATTGACTAGAAGTATCCAAATGGAATCACCACTCAGGTTTTGTAAGTGAGGCAAGAAACAGTAAATTTTATAAAAGCTTTCAACTCATTTTGTCAATTGCCATAATTACAGATATGCAGTTATATGTACACAGATGGGGAAGTGGGCAGGCAGATGAATTCATGCATTAGTTTGTTACTATAGAGCAGTGGTTTTCAAGGGGGCAGTACTGCCCTCTAAGAGACAGAAATTTGTCAGGGTTTTTTGTTGTTGTTTTGTTTTGTTTAATGTTATTTATTTCAGAGAGGAAGGAAGAGAGAGAGAGAGGGATAAAAACATCAATGATGAGAGAGAATCATTGATTTGCCTCCTGCATTACCCCTATGGGGATCAAGTCCGAAATCCAGGTAAATGCCCTGATGGGAATAGAACCATGACCTGGTTCATGGGTAGACTCAACCATTGAGCCACACCGGCTGGGCTGTCAGGATATTTTTTGATTGTCACAAGGGTGGAGTAGAAGTAAAGGGCTAGTTTTGCACCAAAAAAAATCGACCTATACAAATTTCAAATGCACTGTTAGAAATATACATTAGTTAAAAACCTATTTATAATTAATTAAAAACCTATTAGTTAAAAAACCAGAACTTAAAGTCAGTTTTACATATAAACAAAATATTTTTAGTTTTCATAAACAGATCTATCCAGGACCCACTGTATTTCTTCACTTTCATCTTCTTATAGTCACAGAGTAGCTTCAGTCTTCTCTTAAATCCAAATTTATTCACATAAGGAAATACAATCATCTGTCTACTGCATAATGTCTTCTAATATAATCTAGGCATTTACATATTAAAATGCACGTAATTTTGTTATAAATTATAGTTAGGATATTATTTTTTAATGGGTAAAGGTAGGCCTCCTTATCTATGAATCTTATTTCAGGATAGTATAAGGGCTTTATAAAATATTTGTCAGAAAATGAGATAATTGAGTTGATAGGGTTGAGAACAACTGCTCTAAACAATAGTCTCTACACACAGTAAAAACTGCTTGAGAATCGTCAAGGTGCCCCACCATATACACACACATAAGCATTTGGACATGACATTATATTGTTATGATGCCTTAAGTTCTTGAAACTGTCCCTTTAAGAAAAAAATAAATTTCTCACTTTTTCTGTATTATAGATTAAACATTTATCAGCTAAGGAAATGAGATATTTCTTACTAGGATTGTTGATGTCTTCTTGACTTTTATATTCTAAAATATAAACAGATTTTGAGTTAATTGCATTGTAAACCTATTTATCAAGAGAGAAAAAGCTGATTAAATGATTAAGCAAACTTGCTTATTCCTGGGAATGGGCCTGAGGAGCAGGGTATTAGGTTTAGAGATTTGTGTGAGCCTGGGGGAAGGGTTTAATAGTTACTTGCACTGTGGATTTTTTTTTTTTTTTTTTTTTTTACCAAGGAAGTGTTTCCATTAAAAAAATGATTAAATTTTGATTATAAAAAGTGCTTTTTTTTAATATACTGAATTTCAATTCCCAAATGCAATATTAATACTATATGTCACTCATTGTACAAATGCTTTATGTATATTGCCACCTTTATTTCTTATAGACCTAGAAGGTAGATATAGTTTTCCATGTTATACAGATGTTCCTCAAAACAAAATCAGAGGTAATCAGTGGTAGTAATTTCAAAGCCTCTACTCCTCTTTACTATGCTATACTACCTCTAAGTGTGTGCCTAGCACTTAAATATGAATATTGCCATATTCTGAAAACTTTGAAGCCAATTCTAGAAGCCCAGGATAGATGAATATTTTTTTTATAACTAAATCTGGGTGGAAGACAAGTGTTGTGTGACAGAAAGTGAACAAAACTTGAAAAGTTGAGTCCTGGTTGTCTCTACCCTTTAAACGATTCCTTAACCTTCCTATATTTCATGTCCTCATCTCTGAAATGGCAAAAACAGTATTTATCTAAGATTAAATGAGATTCAGTGTAAAGGTTTTAACAACAAAAAAGCATGCACTACACACAGCTTTCCAGTAGAGGGCACGATACAAAACAGTCCCTGCAAACCTATTCCTTGTAGACTGGCATGTCAGAAGCTATACAGCTCAGGTGTTCCCCCCAGACTCCTGAAGATTAACCTAACTAAATGCTTACAGTAAAGGACTCAAAACCCCGTTGCTCCACTCCCAATAAAAAATGTATTATTAGTTTTTATCTGGTTTTACCACTTTTATTCCTAAATGAGAAAAGATTTTCAGATAATAAAGACAGCTACGATTTACTACTATTTAAAAACTATTCATTTGTCAGTACTTTGTCTCATTAGGACTTTAATCAATCCTGGGAGACAGAAGTTTTCTTCATTGTACCGATTGTGGCAGGAGAGGTGCAGAAAAGTGAAATTATATAAAGTTCCCTAGAAGAGACTTCCGGTCCAGATGGCAGCATAGGTAATAAACACAGTGCTTGAATCCTCCCACAACCACATCAAAATTAGGACAAAACTACAGAACAACCATTATTCAGAACCGCCTGAAATCTGGCTAAGTGGAAGTCCTACAACTAGGGAATTAAAGAAGAAGCCACTTTGACACTGATTGAAGGAGTGGAGATGTGGAACAGGCTGGTCCCACAACCACATGTGGCAGATAAAAATTGGGAGGGTTATCTCTGGGCCTCTGTTTGTATGTTAGGTAATTAACTATGAATATTCTGGTTCTGTACACAGCATGAAGTTTCCACAGACAGCAAATATTAGGCAAGGCAGAGTGTAGATGGTGGATGCAATTCAGTGAATGCCAAAAAAACTATTTCTTAAAAAAAATCCTTAATGGGTAGGGACTTAAACCCTGAGATTTTGTGTTTTTATAGTTTTTTCAGATATCCCCATAAGGTAAACATGGCAAGTGTTAGCCAGGTTTGACAATTCTGAGGCATAGAGAAGTGTTATTACTGTCCACAGCTCTCTGGTTACATGTTATGTCCATTTATGTTATTTACTTCTTGTCTCAGGAAAATTTACTTTTTTATTTTTGCCTTCCCTGTAAGCCTACATTCTGAAGCCCTTCTCGGGAACCTGACAGGAGTCACTGTTAATTTTCTCTGGCCACAGAAACTGAAGGCCCCTTAATGGCCTTGCCCTCAGTGGCAGCCTCATACATTTTAAATACCTATGAAATGGTTATGTCTTCATGATAGGTTAAATCTTCCATGGTAAATATACCAGAAAAATATACTTAAAAAACGGCAAATCTTATGGAATGTGTACTTGGTCATAAGTTAAGAGACTTGGGGCCTTCACTCATTTGTGTGATCCTGTGCAAAGTACTTGGGTTTCCCTGCATGTCTAATGTTGACAGTTATGACATCCCCCCATACCCAAATTGGCACATTCCTCTCTGGCATGCCTACCATTGCTTACCAGGTAATGGAAAAGGTTCTGACATTTTTATTCCTAAATGAAAAAGAAATATTCATTCCTAAATAAAAAAGAAACTTGCAGTTTGCTCCAGTGAATACAATTTCCAAAGTCTTGTCCAATGAGATACAAGTGTCAATAGTCTCACTGCACTGTAGTTCCTGGCTTCTTATTTAAAAGTTTTGGCTACATGAACCCTCACTGTGCAAATCCACACTAAGCCTAGAGGAGCCTTCTTCCATGGCACCTCACTAAGTCTATGAAAGGAGAGTACAAACAATCAGCTTTTGTGTGAAGTTTCTATTGAGTAACTTTAGCTATAGAACCTGGAAGATGCTAGACTGCATGCATCCAAGTCCCTGCAGCCTTGCCCTCCAGCTATCCCCGCAAGGGAGCTAAGATTCCTGCTCCAGGAACAGGGATAAAGGTATTTCTCTACTCTCTTCCCCAGCTAAGTCTTTGTAGAATGACTGGCAGATAGCGGTAAAGGAAATATTAATAAATAAAAATAGTCTCATGACAATATTCTCTTTAATGCCAAGGGGAATCCTGTCAGCTCATACTTGGCTCAGAGAGTGAAATCTGTCTTACCAGGCATTTGGATGGGTTCATGGTTCTTCACACCTAAAAATATCAATGAATATTGGTTACTGTTAATCAATGATCTTGCATTGTTAATGCTTCCTTTTTTCTATACGTCCCCCATCTCCAGCCCTTTAAAAAAGGGAAAAGAAAACAGTAACAACAAAAACACCTTTCAATGGCTCTTCATTCTCTAACTGGACAAAGCCCAAACTCCTTAACTTGAACTTCAAGAACTTTATGATCTGACTCGTATGTCTCCAACTTATCTTCATAAGGCAGTCCTAGTACATCAGCTTTAAAATGAAACAGTACTAGGTGTAAGACTCTCCTTGGTTTGGTTCTATTGTCATTATAGTTATTAGCTCTATGATTGCTCAGCCTTCTTAATCCCTCTGACCTTTAATTCCTATTTACGAAAAGGAAATCTTTACCTTGCAGGTTTGTAGTAAGTGATGATTAAAGGAAATATAGTACTTAGTACACTGCATGAAATATAATAAGCACTCAATAAATGGAGTCCCTCTGTTCTGGCTTAACTCATTTTCCAAACTCTCCAAGTCCATAATGCTCTTAGTCCTAGGAGTTCTCATGTCCGCTCCCACCCTTGTAGCTAGCCTCAAAAAGTAAGTAAAAAGTTTACCTACCAGGTAAGACAGTGGACTCCTGGCTTTTCATTCCTAAAGATGAGAATGGGAACCATTTAGTGGAAATGCACTTGGTTTGAAAATTAATTTAGCTTATATTTACATGGCTATTTATGGAAAGCTCTAAAAGATTTGAGAGATGGCAGGGGACAGAGTAAAGGAGAGAAGATTTAACCCACTGGAATATGACTGACTTCTGATCAGAATAAGGGCCAGTAAACCCAGGATCTCTCCCAGATTAAGCTCCTGTTGATTTTTTTTTTTTTTTTTTTTTTAGATTCAGGCCAAAGACTTCCAAACTACATTTGTCATGATGTATTTTTAAAAAATAAAATTTATTGATTATATAAGTCACACATTATAATTACAGATCATTTATAAAATATTAAAAATTACTCTTACTCCTAAATCTCAGAGTTACTCATTCTTAACATTTTTTGGTATATTTCCTTTCAGTCTTTTTGCTATGTATACATCCCCAATCTTCAGCCCTTTAAAAGTATATATTTTTAGCATATTTTCCAGTGTTGAGATGTAACTGACACACAGCATTATATAAGTTTAAGGTAACATCATGATTTAACTTACATATATTGTACAATGATTACCACAATAAGCTTAATTAACATCTGTCATCTCATACAGAAAAAGAAAAAATCAGATACAAAAAAAGAAAACTTTTTTCCCTTGTGGTGAGAACTTTTAGGATCCACTCCCTTGGAAACTGTCAAATACAGGAGTTGGACATTACATCCCCAGTACTTATTTATCTTATAATTGGAAATTTGTACTTTTTCACATTTTTTAATAAAACTGATATTAGACTCTACATGCCATTTTATATCCTATTAAAGGCCCGATGCATGAAAATTTGTGCAAGAGTTGGCTTCCTTCCCCCGGCTGCTGGCACCGGCTTCCCTCCAGCACCTAGGACCCAGGCAGCTTCCCTCCAGCCACCAGCAGGCAGGCACCCGGGACCCGGGCTTTGCTCTGGCCCTGGCTTCATCCGGAAGGATGTCCAGAATGATGCCCAGAAGGACGTCCGGTCTAATTAGCATATTACCCTTTTATTATAGATTTTTATTTGTCACTGTATATAAGCACTTTTTCATATTCTTAAAATATGTTTAAAAATCAATTTTTAAGGTTAGTGTTTCATAATATGGGTATAATTATATTTAATATTTACCCATCTGTTGGACACTAAGGTTATTTATAAATTTTGACTACAATAACACTATGTAAATATTTTTGTACATATGTTATAGACAAATCTTTATGACGATTTCCTTGGGACAAATATCTAAAAGTGTTATAACTAGGTTAAAAGGTATGAGCATTTTTAAAGCTAGTAATACATACTATCAAACTGTCTTCCAGAAAAGTTCCAATTTATAATCTCACCAGTAATTTATGAGAGTGTTCCTATCTCAGCACTCTTGAGGACATTTGAATACTATCACTTAAAAAAAAACTTGGGAATATACTATATAATCAAACAGATATAGCTAACAGCACCTGTTAGGTTGCTGGAAGCAGAAATAAATATACAAAATCATAATTTTTACTTTAGAAAAAAACGCCATTTTTAATGCCCCTGCCCAACATCCTAGGTCATAAAGAGTTTGTGGAATAATTAGTCACACCTTCCTCTATCCATGTAACTGCTAGCATAAAGCAGAAAATAATATGTTCTCAACTACTTCTTCAACTTCTCTACTGGGATGATCTAAAGACTATTAGATAAGAGACATAAAGAGAGCTGCTGTGTCATCTTTGTAAAGAAGCCTATCCGAAACTCAGGAAGGTCTCTGATATACCAAACCAGTAACTAAACTAGTTCTCTTCCTACTGTTCCTTACCATGCCATGCCCATCTGCTCCCATCCGCTCCCAACCATAAGGAGATGTCTTGCAAATGTAAAACCCAGAGTTTATGAAAATGTCTTACCAGGGTCTTCAAGCTTCTGTTTTTTATCACCTAAGTTACAAAAAGAAACTTTCCATTTTAACAATAGAATAAAATCATTGGAAGTTACTATAGTTATAACAAAATTATTTTCAGGTAATATGGCCATAAAGAACCATTTGGTAAATCCAGTAAAGTAATGCTACTAAGTTTAAGTGTCAAATCAGATCTAAATGCACCTTGGCTAATTGGATTGGAACCTTCCTCTGGCACCTCAAGAAAAGCCATCACACCTGAATGGTGCAGCTCAGTGGTTGAGCATAGACCCATGAACCAGGAAGTCAGGGTTCAATTCCTGGTCAGGGCACATGCCCAGGTTGCGGGCTCAATCCCCAGTAGGGGGCGTGCAGGAGGCAGCTGATTGATGATTCTCTCTCATTGATGTTTCTATTTCTCTCTCCTCTCTGCCTTCCTCTCTTTGAAATCAATAACAATGTTTTTTCGGTTTGTTTTTTTTTAAAGAAAATCCTGGGGATCTCAATGAGCTAGAAAAATGTCTGTCTGGAAAAGTTAGCTAAGGTCCCTTTGAAGTGACTAGTAAAATTTTGGCTGCAATGGGCAAGTCCTCTGGTGCATGATATGCTTCACATCATTACAGGAAATTATTTTCCAAAACATCAAGTAAATTGCATACCTAAGGAAAGGCCAGATACCTTTTTCTCTTCAATAAAGAAAATCTTATTGTAGCTACATGGGCCAAACACATAACAAAAAACTTAAATGCACAGAAGTGATTTGGGCTATATCACTAGGAAGCTCAGGGGAGAAAAACATTTAATCACCCAAATATTTTAGTCAAATGATACCAACATTAGCATATTTGAAAGGTGCAAATGACTGACTTTTCTACTTTCATCTAAATGGTATCACAGGTTAATTTCAATGACTGAATACAGACCCTCAGATCTCTCAAGACTGACTAGCTCTTCAGGTCTCACCAACCTTATCCCCTAGAACCGTGGTCGGCAAACTGTGGCTCGCGAGCCACATGTGGCTCCTTGGCCCCTAGAGTGTGGCTCTTCCTAAGCCTTAGGAGTACCCTAATTAAGTTAATAACAATGTACCTACCTATATAGTTTAAGTTTAAAAAATTTGGCTCTCAAAAGAAATTTCAATTATTGTATTGTTGATATTTGGCTCTGTTGACTAATGAGTTTGCCGACCACTGCCCTAGAATGTTTCCATATTGTTCAGCTCTCCAGAGTGCCAACCCTCTCATTTATAGAGAGGCAAATTTCCCCAGAATAGAGTCTTTCTCTCTCTCCCCGCGCCACCCCCCTGCCCCCGCCTTATATCTGCCAAGTTACTCCTTCATATCTGCAAAATACTCTTTTTCTTCAGCTAAGAATTGAATTTGTTCAATAAGAAAGAGCTACTAAATATCCATATAAAGATTATTTTTAAACATGAGAGCATACTTACCAGGGCTGGCAACATAGATGGGTAGAAAATATTCTGAAATACAAACATGCTTTCATTATATAGTACTTTGCTCAGACATTAATGTCAGGTTTATTAATGATAAAAATCTGAGTTGACTTACATTTTAAGATACATACAAAATATGGCGAGATGAGAAATATAAAAGTATCAGTCTCAAAAACAAATGGATGTGGATTCATTTTAATTACATGAAGAAGAATTCATAGAAAAACTAGACAGGAAGACAGCTGAAAACTTTCTAATAAGGAAATTTTCAAAAAATTCTACCCAATGCATGCATCAGCCCAAGGTATTTTCTGGCAACTTTCATTCAAATCTGTTGGGCCTATCTGATAATGCTATTCTTGAATATTCTTAGAATTCCTGTTTACCTACCCAAAGCTTTCCCATGATCCTCTAAGGAGGATTATCTTTTGTTACATCTTTCCCTGAGGAAGCGGAGACAGACTGCATTGACATTCTGACCCTCCAGCTCTCACCTTGAGCCACAGTCACTCTATTCTTTCATTAGTATCCCAAAAGTTATTTCCTAAAATATCACAACATAGGGTTATAAGTCTAGCTCTGTCAAGTAGGAGTCAAGTAGGGACATTCAGGAGTCCTTACACTCCTGTAAGGATAGATTAGGGTGAGAGTGGAATGGTACTACATGCCCAAGATAAATGAAGTTTGACAGAACAGTCACAGGCAAGGCTGTGGGTGTGGATAGGGGAGGGATGCCACCAGCAGAGACTCCTGGACTCCCCACTGCTAAAAGGTAGTAGCAGTAGCACAATTTTGCCTTGAGAAATGAAAGATGGCTGACAGCATGACAGTTTGGTCAGATGGCTCTGACCCGTACCTGTGAGAAATAACACTGATAAAATTCCCATTACAGAGATAATACTTTGAAGCATATCTTACCTATGTTCTCAACACAATTTGCCATTTTTAGACCTGAAACATAAAGATAAAGCTTTATTAGTTAGACACAATTTACCCTACAGAGCCACTGGTCTGTGGCTATTAGTAATTAATCTGTCAGCTCCTAGTCCATCAGACCCATAACTTAGTGGAATGCAAACTGTAGAACAATTACATATTTATATTCATATTATAGTCATAAACAGCAGTATGATCTTTGATAAAACATCTAACATTTCTGGAATTCAGCTTCCTTATCTGGATCTTTTAGTGGGAGATTGCTTCAAATGACTTCCAAAGGCCCATCCAAAGCTAACACTTAATAATTCTATTCTATGATTTGTCTACAAAAGTTAGGAGAAAATTTAAGTATTTGTTTAACTAATCCTCTCTTCAGATATTAAATGTCCTCAACAGCAAACCTATCCTTTTACTGTGACAGTTCCTATCCATTGAAGAAAAAGAATCTCAATCAGAGCTTCAAGATCCTTGAATATATGAACAAAGATCCTTCAAATGCATATGGCGACATCAAGTTGGTTTGCTCCAGAACACTGAACTGTATGCAAGGAGATCCACAGTTATTTGGAGAGCAGGAACATGGCATCTAATAGTATACTTTTATACCTTCTTGCCAGCGATGCCCTGCAAAAAATCATCAGTGCAGCAGTGATTCTGCCGAGACTTGACATAAAGGGGAATCTGCAGGCCTGCCCAACAGCAGTTAAGGCAAGAAGATCAGTGAGAGGGTGTTTAGATTTGGTGCCAGCATGAGCCATTGAGGGTTTCTCAGATGTCACAAGAAGGTCTAGATGTCCTATGGTCTCTTCCCCATGCTGGGCTAACTCACTGCTCTAATCAAGTTCAGTTATCAGTGGAGAAACTTCTCCAGCTAAGATGGGGGAGTTCTCCAGAGTCCTGGTTTCACTATGAGATGTGGTCTTCTATAATCTGCTATCCAATCCTGCTCCATTTGTGGAGTCTGAACCAAGAACCCAGGTGACTTGCTGATCCAGGAATTAGTACAGATTTGTTAGAATCTGATGGTGCCCTGAGGGCTAACCTTGGGTGTTTGGCTAGACTAGAAATTTAAAAAACAATTCTAGAGACAATTTAAAATGTTGCCTCAGCAGAAGATAAGTGTGCAAGCCTTATGCAGAGGCTTAGTTGAGGGTTAGGTGAAGGTGAGGGGAATTGTGGATGACAAACCTACAGATATGATAGATTCGGCGTGGAAACTAGGCATTGGAGGATTTTAAAAGCCTTTATCTTTTGACTGTAGTATAAATTAGAACATGTTTCTCAAAGTGTAGTCTTCCAATCACATACTTCAGAATCAGTTGGATGCTTATTAAAATTGAAAACTGCGGGACTCTAGCCGAAACTACTGATATAGAACTTCTGGTGGTGGTGCCTTATAATCTGCATTTTAAACAAGCACTCCAAGTGATTTTTTTTATGCACAAAATTTTTGAGAGCTTCGTCAGTAGTACAGACTGGGTATCTTTTCTTATGCTTATGTATTTTATTGGAATTTCTGATAATTAAATTTTTTTAAGTTTAAGGAGTACGGCATGATGGTTTGATTTACATATATTGTGAAATAATACCAAATAGGTTCAGTTAACACCCCAGGATGGGTATCTTTTAATGTTTAACACAGTTCCATTTATTCAAGACTTCATTTTTCCTCCCTATTTGACTCTGGATTTAATTTTTCATTAGTGTTTTTAGCAGCAGGAAAGTAATCAAACTATTCTGAGTTTCTAAAGAAGTAATAGGATTAAAAATGGATGAGATTGATCCAGAAATAAACAAGAGAAGGCATAAATATTATATATAAGAATGATAAAAGAATATAAGCATAGATTCAATAGGTGTGAAAATATATGAGTTACTGTGAATCAATTTGAAATATAAGACAAATAAGAAAATTCCTTAAAAAAATCAAAAATATCTCAGGAATTGCCAGGACCGGTTTGGCTCAGTGGATAGAGCGTTGGCTTACGGACTGAAGGGTCCCGGGTTCAATTCCGGTCAAGGGCATGTACCTGGGTTGCGGGCACATCCCCAGAGGGAGATGTGCAGGAGGCAGCTGATCGATGTTTCTAGCTCTCTATCTCTCTCCCTTTCTCTCTGTAGAAAATCAATAAAATTTATTTAAAAAAAAAAAATCCAGGAATAAACAGAAAGAAAAAACCAAGATGGTGGCATAGATAAACACTGGAGATTGCTGCCTCACACAACCACTTCAAAAATACAACTAGCCGAAACCGGTTTGGCTCAGTGGATAGAGCGTCGGCCTGCGGACTGAAAGGCCCCAGGTTAGATTCCGGTCAAGGGCATGTACCTGGGTTGCGGGCACATCCCCAGTAGGGGGTGTGCAGGAGGCGGCTGATCGATGTTTCTCTCTCATCGATGTTTCTAACTCTCTATCTCTCTCCCTTCCTCTCTGTAAAAAATCAATAAAATATATTAAAAAAAATACAACTAAAAGAACGGACATCATCCAGAACCACAGGAAGGCTGGCTGAGTGGAAATTCTACAACTAGAAGGAAAGAGAAAAGCATACCGAGACTCAGAGGAGGTGTGGTGTGGAAGTAAAATACAGAGGTACAGAGGTGCATGCGGAGAGGGTTGGCAGCTGAGGACACGGTTGTGTTTTTCAATCGGGAGAGAGTCCCAAGCTCTGAGCTCCAGTTCTGGGCGAGTCTCTGGGGAACCAGACTCATACAGGAGAAACTGGGCTCTCTGGCATCGGTTGGAATTCGATGGCAGCTTTCTCTCGGAGGTGCTTGCAGTGACTGCTGGGACACTGAGAAGCAGGGCCTCTGAGGGCAGGGCTGAGAGCAGCCATAACTGCTTGCTCCACCCTGTTGATTCCCTTGGACCCAAGCCTTGCACAGAGGCTTTTGCATATGAAAGGCCTGGCCCTTTGCAATCTGATAATTACCTAAAAAACTGCAGTTGGCCCAAGGCCCCAGGGCAACTTGCATTGCTTCACAGATGGCTCCTGCTGGGTAGCCTCAGGCAGAGGCTAGATTAGCACCTCTTTAGAGATCCAGGAGCCAGTGTGCCTGGTGGTCAGAGTGGAACCATCCAGATTGAAGTTCCTCGGATTCATAAAGGACACACTCAGGGGGTAGACTCAGTGAGCACCAAAGCCCCACTGAAGCAAGTCTTGCCCCGGAGGGATGTCTCCAGCACAGAAGTTCTCCCACTGCAGACACAGCTGATTCTCACAGCCAATTGGCCTGGAGGTCAATCCCTCCCAGAGTTACTTACAACAATCAAGGCTTAACTACAATAAGACTGTGCACAAAGCCCACATGGGGGTGCACCAAGAGTGTCTACCTCAGGTAACTGGGGAGGCTGAGCCACTGGGCCCTATAGGACACCTAGCACACAAAGCCACTCTATCAACACAGGGAAGCATAAAAAATGCCAAGACAAAGAAACAGGACACAAATGACAGAAATGGAGGAAAGCAAACTACTGGATATAGAGTTCAAAACCACACTTTTAAGGTTTTTCAAGAATTTTTTAGAAACCGCCGATAAACTTAATGAGACCCTCAAGAAATCTAATGAGACCCTCGAGGTTGTGATAAAGGACCAACTAGAAATTAAGCATACACTGACTGAAATAAAGAATATTATACAGACCCCCAACAGCAGATTAGAGGATCGCAAGAATCAAGTCAAAGATTTGAAATACGAAGAAGCAAAAAACATCCAACTGGAAAAGCAAAATGAAAAAAGAATCCAAAAATATGAAGATAGTTTAAGGAGCCTCTGGGACAGCTTCAAGTGTACCAACATCCGAATTATAGGGGCGCCAGAAGAAGAGAGAGAGCAAGATATTGAAAACCTATTTGAAGAAATAATGACAGAAAAATTCCCCTACCTGGTGAAAGAAATAGACTTACAAGTCCAGGAAGCACAGAGAACCCTAAACAAAAGGAATCCAAAGGGGACCACACCAAGACACATCATAATTAAAATGCCAAGGGCAAAAGACAAAGAGAGAATCTTAAAAGCAGCAAGAGAAAGTCAGTTACCTACAAGGGAGTACGCATACGAATGTCAGCTGATTTCTCAACAGAAACTTTGCAGGCCAGAAGGGAGTGGCAAGAAATATTCAAAGTGATAAATGCCAAGAACCTACAACCAAGATTACTTTATCCAGCAAAGCTATCATTCAGAATTGAAGGTCAGATAAAGAGCTTCACAGATAAGAAAAAGCTAAAGGAGTTCATCACCACTAAACCAGTATTGTATGAAATGCTGAAAGGTATCCTTTAAGAAGAGGAAGAAGAAGAAAAAGGTAAAGATACAAACTATGAACAATAAATACACATCTATCAACAAGTGAATCTAAGAATCAAGTGAATAAATAATCTGATGGACAGAATGAACTGGTGATTATAATAGAATCAGGGACATAGAAAGGGAATGGACTGACTATTCTTGGGGGAGGGGGAAGGGGGGGGATTCAGGAAGAGACTGAACAAGAATCGTTCACCTATGGATGAGGACAGTGGGGGGGGGGGTGAGGGCGGAGGGTGGGGTGGGAAACGGGTGGAGGGGAGGTATGGGGGGAAAAAGAGGAACAACTGTAATAATCTGAATAAAGATTTAATTTAAAAAAAAGAATAAACAGAAAAATCGAATGATATTATAACTATTAAGTAGTTTAAATTTTTTTCTAAAAAGAAAATAGCAGGGTAATTTGGTTATTACATAGTACTAAAGAAGGGAGCTATTCAGAGCCAGAACCCTGGAGATCTTCAAAGGATTTCCCTTTGAAGTATTTGGCAAAATACTGATCAGCTTATATGTGTGAGGAAATTACCCAAAGACAGGGAAAGACCCCACAGGTCAAGAATAGTGCCTTTTCCCACAAAACACACTGAAAAACCTGTAAGTTGACATTTTACCAGGGAACACTACAGTAAGAAGCCTGAAAATCAATAGTAAATTAAACCCTCCCAAGAGTTCCCTATTTCCTTCAGATCCTAAGAAATTACAGA